GTCCTCCGGGAACATTCGTGGGGTGTCCGGGGGAACAACAAGTGGGACATATTGGCACCACAAGTACAGACTAATCACACTTCCGGTAGAATGTTGTAGAAAATGATGACTAAAGTCAGTAATTGGTAAATATATTTTTCCCTTACGGGTCCTCGTGATCATGTGACGGTGGGTGTGGGTTGTTTGGCGGCAGCGTTGTCACGATAACGTCTACCTGAGCTCCGCCCCTGTGACGTCTGTTCTTCCCCCCCAGGTGACGCTGTGGAAGGAGTCGATGGATGGCCAGTGGGCGTGTATCAGTGACGTCAGCAAGGGGCAGGGCGCCGTGTCGGCCATCACGGACACACAGCAGAACGAGCAGTGACCCTCGGGGGATGAGGTCATCGCGCAGTGACTCTCGGGGGATGAGGTCATCGCGCAGTGAGCCTCGGGGGATGAGGTCATCGCGCAGTGACCCTCGGGATCCTCGTTGGTGTGACGATGACATCACGAGCTCTGTTCAGATCATCGTTTTGTGGAGGAAAGAAACCGTCAGACGTGACAACGTTAATCAACACAAACTTTGTTCCAGTCGGACGAGTCTCCCTGTGTGCGTCATCTCCCATGATGCATTGCTCCTGACACATTCCGAAGCCATTCAGGGTCAAGTCCTCAACTCCAGAAAGTACATTGAATAAGTCATTAATGATTGATTGAGTAAACTATTGACTCCCACTATTCTCACCACAGAACCTGCTTTCATAATAGTAATTCTTATTTGATTTGTAATTAAATACATGTTTAAACTAAACTTTCCTCTGGTCCTTTTTAATTCAGTTTGACTTTGATCTGTTGAATCATGCAACAGAGGATGAGGATGGCGGACATGCTGACGTTGTTATCGCCGTGGCTACGAGCCAACTGATGAATTAAACATTTGGAATACTTTCACATTATCTCCAAAAATAAGACTCATAAAATTCACGTCCTTTGACTCCCTGTCGTCATGGCGACTGCAGCGCCACCGTTCTTGGTCCTCTGAGATGCTTCTGGTTGGGTGAAAGAAGATCAAACACGACAACCTAATTATTGTTTAATCTCTTTTGGGTCTTTGTTCACGTCCGCACCACAAAGGAAGAGCGGACCGGCACCGAACCGCTCAAATAAAACTTATTTCAAATTGAGTTATTCACTTTCTAACAGCATTCGATATTTAATGTAATATGATAACCGAGTTTAATTACGATTCTTTAAATTCTAGTTGTGACTATTTTAAGAATAATAATGTACTACCTGCTCAGGTACTTTGTATACTTCCTGCTCAGGTAACTTGTTGTGTGTTCTAATATTCATGAGCACTGGTCATCTGACACCACCTCTTTCCTCCACCTCCACTGACTCCACCCTGTGGAGGTATAAAAGCCTCGGGTCACCTGAGCGTCTCACTGTGTTCTGATATCTCACCTGTTCGCTCTCACTGAAGATCTTCATCGCCGGTTCTCCATTTCTCCGTCTCTGCCTTCACACCCGCAACTCTCTCCTCCACCTTTCAGTGTTTCTTTCTCTCCTCCACCTTTTCTTTTCTCCACCATGAGCCTGAGTCGCACCAAGCGAATCAGCTCGGGATCCTCGGTGCGCAGCGGGGGGTTCGGGGGGGGCTCCGGTAGGCCGAGCAGCTTTGGCGGCGTCTCCCTGAGCGGGGGCTCCATGTACGGGGGGGCCTCCGGGCCTCATCGTGGCTCGGGGGGGGGCCCACTGGCCGCGCTGTCCGTCAACAGGAGCCTGCTGGCCCCCCTCGACCTGGAGATCGACCCCCGCCTGAGCACCAGCAGGGCCCTCGAGAAGGAGCAGATCAAGAGCCTCAACAACCGCTTCGCCACCTTCATCGACAAGGTCACCATTTATGTTTTATGATCAATACGGTCAGACTGATCAGATTATTATGGATCAATCCAACTCCTCCCATTACTATGTACAGTACACATATGTATCTATGTACATATACGTGTATATATGTGCATATATGTGTATATATGTGCATATGTATATAGTACGTGTATGTATTTGTCCTCCTGAAGGACACTGGCGATGGAGACGTGGATGTGAATATGTGGATATCGATGTCTCTCCTCTCCGTTCTCACGGAGTCAGTGTCGCTTTCACAAAGGAGTCATTGTTGACTCCTCACGGAGACGGGGTCACCTCCTTTGTGCTCCTCTGGGGCGGAGCTACTTATTGAGGAGGGAGGACAGGTAAGGAGATGTGTGAGGAGGAGAGAGGAGGAGAGTCGTCCTTCTCTCTAGCTACTAAAGCCAGAGGCCTGCAGTTAGACGTGTAATCTGACCCCACTGACCCCTCTAAAGACCCCCGGGCTCAGAGGGTATCTGATGTCCCATCCAGCTGTAACCGATGAACCGGGTCCCACCCGTTGGCTCAAAGGGAGCAGGCTTTGGGGGGCAGGAGATAAAGACAGGCGATGATGTCGTTGACCTAGAACGATGAAATGAGAGGAAGATGATTGACGATGACGACGGAGCCCTTCAGGAGTTGTTTGTGCCATTTTATGCCCCTTTTTGGTTAATTACAGTAATCAAGTCAATTTATTGCTACATACGTTATTTACAGTAGATATGTTAAAAAGTTATTAATATTATTAATGCTATTTAATGTTATTCATAATAATAATTATTAATGTTATTAATGCTGATATTATTGCTGCTATCAATGCAATTAACGCTATAAACACTACTTATGCTATTATTATAAACGCTATTGACTCTATTAACGCTATAATGCTATTTACGCTATTAAGATCTGAGATTACAATTCATCATTTATCATTTTATAAGCATTTATCAAAACATCAATGAGGAACATGATTGTTAAGTTCTGTTAAAACATGCAAAACAAATAAATAATGAATAATTATTGAAGACAAAATGATGCTGTTAGACAATAAAAACAACCTAAAGAGACCTAAAATCATGCAGATTATGTAGAACATTTAGATCCATGCAAGGAGGTGATGGTTCTGTCATACGGTCCATCAGAGGATATTTGTATTCCTTCTCCTCCTCCAGGTGCGTTTCCTGGAGCAGCAGAACAAGATGCTGGAGACCAAGCTGGAGCTGCTGCAGGGTCACGGGGTCGGCCGGTCCAACGTGGAGCCCCTCTTCGAGGCCTACATGGCGGGTCTAAGGCGCCAGATGGACCTGGTCAACAACGACAGGAGCAAGCTGGATGGGGAGCTGAGGAACATGCAGGGCCTGGTGGAGGACTACAAGCACAAGTAGGACGAGTCAGGGGCGGGACTACAAGCACGAGGAGGTGGAGTCAGGGGCGGGACTACAAGCACAAGTAGGACGAGTCAGGGGCAGTAGTACAAGCATGAGGAGGTGGAGTCAGGGGCAGGACTAC